AGGTGTATTCACCTAGTTGTACTCACTTAATTGTGATTGCAGGGGTTGAATCACTGCTCCTGGCTCCGCCTCTTCACTGGTCACTGCTAGGTCACTCTTCTGCTTCATGAGCTTTATCACGCCACTTCTTAAACTATATATGGATCCTGGCTCCACTACATCACTTCCCAGACTGTTCCACTTCCTGACAACTCTGTGATTGAAGAAATACTTCCTAACATCCCTGTCATACATCTGAGTCTTCAACTTCCAACTGTGAGCTCTTGTTTCTGGGTCCCATCTCTGGAACATCCTGTCTCTGTCCACCTTGTCGATTCCTCTCAGTATTTTATATGTCGTTATCATATCCACCCTATCTCTCCTGTCGTCCAGTGTCGTCAGTCCGATTTCCTTAACCTCTCCTCGTAGGTCATACCCCTTAGCTCTGGAAGCTAGTATAGTTGCAAACTTTTGCACTTTCTCCAGTTTCCTTACATGCTTAGTTAGGTGTGGGTTCCAAACTGTACCCACGCCTAACGTACGCAGTGTACAGAGTCGTGAACGAATCCTTATTAAGTTGTCGGAATGCTGTTTTTAGGTTTGCCAGGCGCCCGTATGCTGCAACAGTTACTTGGTTGCTGTGTGCCTCAGGAGATGTGCCCAGTGTTATATTCACCCCAGGATCCTTTTCCTTGAGTGAGGTTTATAGTCTCTGGTCCCCTAGATTGTAGTCCGTCTGTGGTCTTCTTTGTCCTTCCCCAATCTTCATGACTTTGCCCTTGGTGGGGTTGAACTCTAGGAGGCAGTTTCTGGACCAGGCCTGCAGCCTGTCCAGATCCCTTTGTAGGTCTGCCTGGTCCTCATCCGATTGAATTCTTCTCATCAACTTCACATCATCTGCAAACAGGGACACTTCGGATGCTATTCCTTCTGTCATGTTCACAAATACCAAAACAACACTGGTACTAGGACTGACCCCTGTGGCACCCCACTCATTACAGGCGCCCACTCCACTCTGATACCTCGCCAAGTACCATGGCTCGCTGCTGTCTTCCTGACAGGTATTCCCTGATCCATTGTAGTGCCTTCCCTGTTATCCCTGCCTGGTCCTCCAGCTTTTGCATTAATCTCTTGTGTGGAACTCTGTCAGACGCTTTCTTACAGTCCAAGAAAGTGCAATCTATCCACCCTTCTCTCTCTTGTCTTACTGTTTCCTCATTCTTAGGTTCTTAAAACCATTGGTACCTTTAAAAATAGGTTGAATAAATATGACTAAGAAAGTTGGACCTGCACAGCATGGGTCAGTATACCTACTGCAGTGCTCTTTCATTCTTAATTAACACCTGACACTGTATGAAAAAATTCGCATTAGAATGTATACGTATAGTAAAGCAAACTGAGCAGTCTGCTAAAAGAGTATTTTGGGAAATATCACACACGCTTTACTTTTTAATTTATGCTTTTTAGCCTTAAAGAAGAATTGAAGTTTGTCACGAAATTAGAGAACAGAAATTTTCCATTGTTCAAAAAGGAAGAGTTATAAGTTAAACTACAAAAATCCGTTAGTAGTGAAGAGGCTAGTAAGTGAACTAGATACCTCGAAGGCGGTGGGACCGGACATCTGTCCGTGGGTCCTCAGAGGGAGCGCAGAGGCGCTGTGTGTGCCACTAACAACAATCTTCAACACTATCGAAATAGGGAGACTACCTGAGGTGTGGAAGACAGCAAATGTATTTCCAATCTTTAAGAAAAGAGACAGGCAGGTAGTATTAAACTACAGACCAGTGACACTGACATATATAGTATGCAGATTCATGGGAAAGCTTATCTGGAAAAGGCTTGTGGAGCACTTAGAAAGGAATGAGCTTACACACAATAAACAGCACGGTTTCAGGGAAGGAAAATCCTGTGTCACAAATCTGCTATAGTTTTACGACAAGGTGACAAAAGTAAGGCAGGGTAGAGAAGGGTGGATAGATTGCATTTTCTTGGACTGTGAGAAGGCTTTTGACAGTTTTGCACAAGAGATTAGTGCGGAAGCTAGAAGAGCAGACAGGAATAAGAGGAAAAGCACTGCAGAGGATCACAGAATACCTGACGGGAAGGAAACAGACGTATATATGACGATATGTCAGAGTGGGCGCCTGTGACGAGCGGGATAGATTCACAAGGAGGTAGCCGTGTTCGCAGACGACGTGAAGCTAATGTGGAGAATTCAAGTGGATGAGGATCAGGTAAGACATCAAAGGGATCTGGACAGGTTCCAAGCCTGGTCCAACGAGTGGCACTTGGAATTTAACCCCACCAAGTGTTTCTTACGTTATGGAACCGCTGGTACTAAATTCGTTGTTCATCGGCTCTAGGTACAGTGACATTAATTTAGCTTGGTTTATTATCATTCCGCAGGAGTGGTGCCAGAATTTCTATACTTGGGGGTTATTAATGCTATTTTTATTTGGGGTTATAGGGATGAAGGAACTATTCGGAGGCTGGAAGCTCCCTTAGCTTTTTCCCTAGGTGTCGCCACTGGCTTACTGTCATATTCAATCTTCTCACTGACATCATTAGACCAAAGTCGGGCACCAAGGAAAGTGCAATCAATGGCATCAATGACTTTCACTCCTTTAATTGCAGCTTTTATTCGACATATGTTACACTCCTATATAGGCTGCCTCCTGACTAGCGAACCAGGTGCTAAGGAGTTAATGATCAATAGGGGCCTCATCGTTTTATCAGTACCTCGGTTCATCGGCCAATCACTGACAAGCCCGCCAGAACTGTGAAGCAATGTGTTTCACGTATGACACTAGTCTTGGCTGACTTGTCCGGGCTGCTGGCCGCTTACAGTTCTCTGTCTGGTTCTTGCGTTTTTCCCTCTTTTGATCACCGTGTCGTACACACGATCTTACATTGTTGAACATAGTGTAAATAGTGTACATCTTGTTAATACCAGCATGCTTCTTTGGTGGAAGAATACAATATAACCTCTGCTGTCTCTTGCTTGCTCCACTATTTATGGCACTACGACAAGGCGTGCAGGCCATTATACACCTGTATTCTTAATACTCTTTGATGACTATGATGCCTTCAAGGAGGAATTCTGTGGTGCCCGCAAGTTTACGGTCAAGAAAATTCTGTCTCTCTACATTTTCCTTCATGCTATCTTCAGCACATAAATACTGCTGATACTGAAAAAAAGTCATCTGATTCATTTAATTCAGTTCTACCCAGTTTATTCTAAAGACAGTACTATGAGGTAAAATGAACTCGCCTGTCCTAGGATCCTCACGGGAAACACAAGTCTGTTAATAAGGCAGTTCTCGACTCCGGCTCCCCCAGGCGATAATAATGTCGACAACAGTTTCTTCGAGCTTCTTACTGCTGAGAGTGTGGCGTTAATTGCCAATTAGTAGAGTAGCTCTCTACAGCCGAGTAGCAGAAGCCAGGTCGCTGCCCGTCGTGGGATGTAACTTAGGCAACACAAGCGTGCATAAACATTCCTGAATTTTCACTTCTTACAACCTTCGCATTTACAATTTCGTCTACAAAATATTATCAAAATCTTTCTCTGCAGCACACACACACACACACACACACACACACACACACACACACACACACACACACACACACACACACACACACACACACGGACGGAGCTATGAATCGACCCCTACAATCACAATTAGGTGAGCACACACACATGAATCGACCCCTACAATCACAATTAGGTGAGCACACACACACACACACACACACACACACAGGCCTCGTCTCACAAATGGCTCCTGGACTTTAACCCCACAAAGTGCAAAGTTATGAACCTCTTTGAAGAACAGTGGGGTGAATATCACACTGAGCATATCCCCTGATGTGCATGTCAACCAAATAACTGCTGCAGTAACTGAGAGTCTGAGGAACCTAAGAATAGATTTTCGGTATCTAAATAAGAAGTCATTCACGACACTGTGTACGTCAGGCCCATACTTGAGTACGCAGCACCAGTATGGAACCCACACCTGGTGGTTAAACTTATCAAGAAATTGGAGAAAGTGCAGAGATTTTCAGCATGACTGGTACCGGAGCTAAAGGGTATGTCCTATGATGAGAGGTTAAGAGAACTCAACCTGATGACACGGGAAGACTAGGGAGGAGGAGGGGGGGGGGGAGAATATGATAACAACTTACAAAATACTGATAGGGACTGACAAGGTAAACAGGGACAGAATGTTTCATAGACGGTAAATAGGAACAAGAGGGTACTGCTGGAAGTTGAAAATTTAAATGAATCAGGGATGATAAGATATATTTTTCTACACCTAGAGTTGTCAGAAAATGTAATAATAATCTGGAGAGTGAAGTGAAATAAGAAGGATCCATACATAGCTTTGAGAAGAAATGAAAGTGTTTTGAAGCCTTGAGAGAGTGGACCTTGTAGCGACCAACAGAAGCGGGGTCAGGAGCTGTGACTCGACCCCTGCAACCACGTGGAAGATAGCAAATGTAGTTCCAATCTTTAAGACAGGAAATAGGCAAGTAGCATTAAACTATAGCCCAGTGTTACTGACATGTATATTATACAAAGTCATGGAGAAGCTTATCAGGAGAAGAGTGATGGAGCACCTAGAAAGGAATGAGCGTATACACGATAACCAACACGGTTTCAGGAAGGGGAAATCCTGTGTCACATACCTATTAGAGTTTTACGACAAGTTGACAGAAAGGAATGAGCTTCAACACGATAACCTGCTTGATTTCAGGAAGGAGAAATCTTGTCAAATACCCATTGGAATTTTACGATAAGGTGACAAGTAAAGCAGGAGAGAGAAGGATGGGTCGACTGCATTTTCTTGGATTGTAAGAAGGATTTTGACACAGTTCAGCACAAGAGAATAATGCAACAGCTAGAGAAGCAGACAGGAATAACAGGAAAGGTGTCAGTGGAACGCCTTCCAACTGAACAAAAGAAATTAATGGAAAAATAAATAAATAAAGAAATAACTTAGGAAAAATGAGAATAATGATTTTTGAGAATTTTACTTAAAATTTAAATATAATAAAAAAAATTGGCCTTCAGTTTCTTTTAGTTGGGCAGGAGTAGGTATGGCCCTGGATAGTTCCTCTGATGTTATTTATGTGGGTTATCCTGGGGCAGATGGTAACAATCCGATGTTCTGGAATCTCCTACCACTTGGATGGAGCACAAGTAGAATAGGTAAGGGCCGGTAGTAGTAGAATATTGTTAATAAGTATTATTAACACGTCTTGCTCCTTTATCTGGCGTCTATCCTGGAAGACCACGCCAGGAACAGAGCTGGTAAATAAGAGAAAATAAACTGGTTACCCATAGTTATGATAATATAACATTTAAGAATTGAAAAGAATGATAAATGCCAAAATCATTACTGGTAACCAGCAAACAAAATAAAGAAACAAACAGTGATACTCCTGGTATATCACCCTACCTGATTAGGAGAAGAGTGGAGGTGAAGTGACTCTCCAAACTTCAACCCACACCAGGTAAGGTCAATATTACCAGGAGTAGAAACTAACAAATCGGACACCAGGAACTAGTTTCGCCCCAGCCCGCCAGAGAGAAGGGGGGGGGGGTGCACGCGACGTAACTAATGGTTCCTGGTTGCCCGAACAACCTTAACCCCACTTACACCCACTTTTCCCTCACAAAAGGCACTACAATGGGTCAGAGAATAGAACGCGCAAACACGTGCGCGCTCACACACACACACACACACACGCATATATTTATTCACACACATTGGCACGGGCGCGAGGACAGTGTAATTAACATGTACCGTATACTAAACACAGTAATGGAGAAGACAATCAGAAGAGTTGTGAATCATCCTGGGAGGAGTTGTCTTAAACCAATAACCAATTCGGTTTTCGAGATGGTAAATCCTGTCTCACAAAACTGATTAAGTTTCATATAACAAAACAACAATGAAAAGTGAAGCAAGAGAAAGAGAGAGATTGGTAGGGTGGGGGAGGTGAACTGCATGTTCTTGGACTCTAAGAAGGCATTTAACCCGCTTTTGTTCATGTAACTGGGAGAAAATTGGGATGAGAAGGCAGGATTAAGAGGGTAAGCCGTGCTTGTTTACATCCTGCCAGGGATGTAGACATATATATACATAAATGTAACGGACTGTAGACAGGTACTGGCAGAGCTTGAGTAGAATGTTCACAGATACAGACTGAGCTCTGCCAGGACGCAGATACAGACTGAGCTCTGCCAGGACGCAGATACAGACTGAGCTCTGCCAGGACGCAGATACAGACTGAGCTCTGCCAGGACGCAGATACCTTGTCCAAAACAAGCAAAAAAAAAAAAAAAAAAACGAAAAAAAAAGACACTTGCCAAACCCTCTCAACTTTCTCATGTTGGGAATTGGTATAAAGTAAATAAATGTGACGTGTATATTTGCAAGCGATGAGGGGTTTTGTGGACGTGATTGTGTCAGTCTCTGCCTAAATGACCTCTGGCGTCGAAAAGATATATGCCAGTTCTCTACAGTAATAAGAGTCAAATTACTATGTACATAGTAGCAGACACAAATTACATCCCCGGTATTTATCAAAACGGGTGTTGTTGTGATGCCCTTCGTGCGATAACTGTCATAGCGTTCGCACTATGAATAATTAATTTTAATCCACTAATGAAGACGTGACATGACTGAACCTATCATGACTGTTTGCTAATTGCAGAAATTTCTGATCCCCAGTCACGCCTGCAAACAACAAATAGTTTGATATAATTTGTTTTATTTATTTCAGATCCAAATGTAGACTTAAACACAGAGAGGGAGAGGGAGCGGGAGAGAGAGAGAGGGAGAGAGAGAGACAGACAGACAGAGAGAGCGGGAGAGAGAGAGGAGAGGAAGAGGAGAGAGAGAGGGAGAGGAGAGAGAGGAGAGAGAGAGAGGAGAGAGAAGAGAAAGAGGAGGGAGAGACAGAGAGAGAGAGAGAGAGAGGAGAGAGAGAGAGAGAGAGAGAGAGAGGAGAGAGAGAGAGGGAGGGAGAGAGAGAGAGAGAGAGAGAGAGAGGGAGGGAGGAAGAGAGGGAGAAGGGGAGAGAGAGGGGGACAGAGAGGGGGAGAGAGAGAGAGGGGGAGAGAGAGGGGGAGAGAGAGGGGGAGAGAGAGGGAGAGAGGGAGGGAGAGAGGGAGAAGAGAGGGAGAGAGAGAGTGTACGCTCACACTTTGAGTATGCTCCAGTTTCTTGGTTTGCCTGCCCCCGGTCTCCTCTGCGACTGCTTGACAGAGTAGAGACCAGAGCAAAGCGTCTCATCTCTCGCCTGGATCCATCCTGGCGAACCTTCAACACAGGAGGGATGTGAGTGGCCTTACTGTTATGTACAAGGCCAACATTGTCAAAGTACCACACATGGCTCCACTTCGAGGACAGCGAGAAGCAAGCTTCTATACCACAAGACGGGCAGAAAGCAGCAACTTCACTCTGGCTGTACCCTTCTCCAGAAGATCACTTCATCTGAGATCATTTATCCCCAAGATGACTCGAGTATGGAACACATTCGTACAACATTATGATGTCAACGAGATAAAGTCAGATGATCAAATGAAAATGCTGGCCCACAGATGGCTCCAACTTCATCCTGTTCCTTACTTGTATGTCTCACAACAACAAAAATGCTTTCAAATGAGCTGATGTAGGTAACAGCTCTTAGCTTGTCAATAAAGTTAAGAATCCTTAACCTGTAAAAAGCTTGTCAATAAAGCTAGGGATCCTCAACCTAACCTTGTCAAACCATGTAGGATAGGCTAAAGGAAAAAGAAAACAGAACTAAAATCCTTTGGTTGCTCACCACTTTCAGAATACACAGCTACAGACGTTATCAGTTTGCTAATATCACTATTATCCTGACACTATCGTAATAATTTTGCTATTATAAAACAAAAAAAAATATCAACAGAAGATAAGAAAGAAAACAGGTCCGGTCACTAGAGGTCGTACTTGTCCTGAGCTGTTCTGGGGGATTAGTGTAGAGTGTTATAGAGCATAATGACTAGCTTCTGTAGTGTCTTAGAGTCCGAGATTAAAGTGTTGATCAGTATAAATGTAACAGCGAATGTGAGGTGGATGGAATTAGTGAAGGGAAACAGGTTACCAGCAGTGAGGAGCAGATTGGCAGCCGTAACAAGTGAGAAGAAGTTTGCAGTAAAGGAAGAAACATCAAAATGAGGTAAGTTAAAAAAAAAGCAGATTCGAAGGTAGGAAATTGCTTCTCTTCTCCAGGACGAATGTACTTCAATAGTCGGTAAGAAAGTACCACTGACTCTCAATCTAATAAAGGTAAAAACATCCTTGTGGTCGGTGACACAGGTAAGATATATGGACCACGCTGTTTGTAACAAAGATAGGAAGATGAGACTGTGTATTTTCCAGGAGCTGGTGTTGGTGACACAGTTCTGTTGGAAACGATATTGGGAAGTAAAGAAGACCGGAACTGCTAGACAAGTACACAACAGCTTTAGATTTAATTAAATCTAAGAGAGGTGTTCCCATTATTTATAACATTTTGCCTAGAAATAGAGGTGGGAAATGCGTGAATGTCTAGGGCAGTTTGTGTAAATTGCTGGCTACACAGGTACTGCAATGAACTTGCAATCTTTTCAGTGACAGCTGGGACAATTTCTATGGCAAACATGATATTTATACAAGGGATGGGGTACATCTCTATGATTTAAGCTTAGAAAATTTTGTGTTGTTTGTGGGGGGAATGACAGTACAACATGAGGGATGAAATGGTCAAAGGAACCACATTAGGATATGTTAAAAAGTTTGTCATAATAAATTGGTATGAAGCATCAAAGACAACATAGAGTGTGAACGAGTGGTAGTTACTTAATTATACTAAATAAGTTTAAACTGGATAGTCAGGACGCCAAGATTTATGTCTGAGAGACAGTTCAACGTTAAAAATAGATGAATGTTTAAATACCACATAAAAGGTATTTATTCCAAGTGGGCCTGAACTGGTTTAAGCAAGTTTCTCAGGACCTAACATTTGAGTGGATTTACAACCCCAAATCAGACGAAAATTTGCTGACATTTTAAGCATAACAACAAATTGATTGGGAAAGCAGTTAACCGAAATTACTCTTATGAAATGAGGATCAAACAGTTTGTACCGAACCACTAGGACACAATCTGCTGGCTTGTTCATGCCAACAAGGTTTAATGAATGGTAAGGTGACTTTGGAAAAGAGATGAAGGTATTTCAAATATCGAGTTATTAAAAGACACAAACAAGTCAATATCCTTGACTACGTTTGGCCATTTCATAGGCTAGAATTTACCAATGGTGTGAACTCGTGACCTGTGTCTTATTCTTGGATGATTAAGCAGTAATCTCGCCATTGGCATTTCAAACATGGTTAACTTGCCTTGTCTAATTTATGGTAAAAGGGAAAACCCAAATTTAACTGTTGGTGAACAATGATCAAGGGAAAAAAAACATTTAGTGTTAAATTCAGCATGGAGGGAACTTTTAGTGAATGATTTACAATTAAAAAGGAAAGAAATAATTAGTGTTGATAAGCTAAAATCAAAAGGAGACAGTCATTTAGTGTTGAAGCAGGGGTCGGGGAACCAACATTTAGTGTTGTTGAAGCAGTGGTCAGGGACCAACATTTAGTGTTGATGAAGCAGTGGTCAGGGACCAACATTTAGTGTTGATGAAGCAGTGGTCAGGGACCAACATTAGTGTTGATGAAGCAGTGGTCAGGGACCAACATTTAGTGTTGATGAAGCAGTGGTCAGGGACCAACATTTAGTGTAGATGAAGCAGTGGTCAGGACCAACATTTAGGTTGATGAAGCAGTGGTCAGGACCAACATTTAGTGTTGATGAAGCAGTGGTCAGGGAACAACATTAGTGTTGATGAAGCAGTGGTCAGGTACCAACATTTAGTGTTGATGAAGCAGTGGTCAGGTACCAACATTTAGTGTTGATGAAGCAGTGGTCAGGGACCAACATTTAGTGTTGATGAAGCAGTGGTCAGGTACCAACATTTAGTGTTGATGAAGCAGTGGTCAGGAACCAACATTTAGTGTTGATGAAGCAGTGGTCAGGGACCAACATTTAGTGTTGATGAAGCAGTGGTCAGGTACCAACATTTAGTGTTGATGAAGCAGTGGTCAGGGACCAACATTTAGTGTTGATGAAGCAGTGGTCAGGGAACAACATTAGTGTTGATGAAGCAGTGGTCAGGGACCAACATTTAGTGTTGATGAAGCAGTGGTCAGGTACCAACATTTAGTGTTGATGAAGCAGTGGTCAGGGACCAACATTTAGTGTTGATGAAGCAGTGGTCAGGAACCAACATTTAGTGTTGATGAAGCAGTGGTCAGGAACCAACATTTAGTGTTGATGAAGCAGTGGTCAGGGAACAACATTAGTGTTGATGAAGCAGTGGTCAGGTACCAACATTTAGTGTTGATGAAGCAGTGGTCAGGGAGCAACATTAGTGTTGATGAAGCAGTGGTCAGGGACCAACATTTAGTGTTGATGAAGCAGTGGTCAGGGACCAACATTAGTGTTGATGAAGCAGTGGTCAGGAGCAACATTTAGTGTTGATGAAGCAGTGGTCAGGAACAACATTAGTGTTGATGAAGCAGTGGTCA